GCAGCCTCCGCCTCCTGGGTTCAGGCAATTCTCCTGCCTCAGCCTCCTGAGTAGCTGGGATTACAGGCACATGCCATCATACCCAGCTAATGTTTTGTATTTTTAGTAGAGACGAGGTTTCACCATGTTGACCAGGATGGTCTCGATCTCTTGATCTCGTGATCCACCCGCCTCGGCCTCCCAAAGTGCTGGGATTGCAGGCTTGAGCCACCGCGCCCGGCCTACCTTCCAAAACATTTTTAAGAACAGTAGCAGTGTGCTTGGAACTGCTTTCTAAGCACTACCTAACCTGTATACTTCAATCTTCTCAATACCCACATTTTACATTTTTCTTTATAGGTGAGGAAATGGAAGCTCTACAGGTTTAAGTGTCTCACCCAAAGTGACATGGTTATAACGAAACTGAACTATGATTTGAACCCAAAACTATTTAATTCCAAAATAAGTGGCCTTAATTACTCTTTACTCATTTACTTGATTATTGTCTGTGTCTGCCTGTCAACCATCACGCTCACCACTCACCTGACAAGTAGTGCGTCCTGAATTAGTGTTTGCAGAATAAACAAATACTATCTTCCCTTGAGGCCCAAGGACTGGAGGCATCATGGTGGAACAGGAGCAGATCAGTGCTTTGTTTCACAGTCACTGAAATATCCAGAACGGTGTCCCTGCGGATCCTGAGGAGTCCAGACAACTTTGGAGTCCCCGGTTTTAAAAAAGCAGGAGTTCCTGGCTTACATGGCAGAAACATTTCATATGGAGACTTGCGTAGTCTTCTTCCTTCTTCCCTTTTTTTATTTTGCTGTTTCTCTTTCATTCCTTCCGTCCTTCCTTTCTTCCTTTCCCTCCTTCCTTCCTTCCTGCCCGCCCGCAAGCTAGATCAATTAGTTTAAGTTGTTACAAAACTAGAAAATCTGAATTAAGTAGAAACCATGAATTAAACATGTTTCAGAGGAGAGGAGCTGAATCTAGCCTCAGATGAGAAGCTTATTTTCCAAAATAGCAAAGCCTTTAAAAATTATGCGTGGCATTGTTTTCCTGTTTCTAGGATATCAAAATCAAGTCTACAGGTGTCTGATTTTCATAGACTTCCTAGACTTTGGGGCATGCCTCAGCACCCAGCCTCATCCCTCCTCTTCTCCTCTTGGATTCAGTCCCTTCTCCTGAGTTGGGAGGTTGTCTGGACAGTGTCCTTGCCATCTGCGTGGCTCATCTTCCCACCACCCACATGCATTTGCCCCGTCATCTCTCAGTGCACTTCCCCCAGGATACTCTGGCTACACTGATCCGGTTTCTCCATCTAGGCCCCTTCTCTTTCCCTGAATGCTGTCCAGTGTTTTCTGGAACCTGTGAACTTCTTGTGAATGATAACTACTAAGAGCTTTTCAAAATGAGACCCCATGTTCTAAATAAAACCTGCAGTCAGGATTCCAGCGAAGGTCAGCTGGTTCCCACCCCCAGAAGCACTTTGCTGTGTAAGATGTTGTCTATAGAACATCAATGTCACTTGGGGCCTTGGAAAGACATCCAGAAAGGGAGTTACCAAGTCTGCATTTCTGGAGATGTGTTTAGTAGGGAAAAAGTCAATATAATCCATGAATGAGTGACTGATTTCTAGAAGGCTCACGAATGTTTCTTTTTGACACTCAGGACTGGACCTCTGAATCAGTGCAGAACATAAATGAGAGAGGTCACGGAAGTATTGGAGAATGCAGACGCAGGCTGGAGGGCTTGCAGTCACCCACATGTGCTTATCTCTAAGTGATCAGAATGTAGGGGCAGCAGGACCTGGCTTATCACTACCCTCTGTTTGTTACAGGAGAGAGGACCGTCCTCTCACAGGTCAGCACGTTTGTTAAGGTGACAGTGCAAGATGCCTTCCTACTCCTGACACCTTGCTGTAAATAGGGTTCCTGAGTAGTGTTGGTTTGTTTCAAATTGGGAAGCCAGTTCAATCAAATGTTTCACTAGATTCAAGTTTGCTGAAAATACTGGCAAATCCCCAAACTAATGAGTCACTATAAGTAACTCAAGGGCATCAGTCCTGCTCCCCAAATAAAAGAGTACTGGTGCTGAGGAAATGGGAACGAAAGTGATATGATGGGCCATGATGGTGTGATGCGTATCCCAGTGATTGCTTTGGGTAAATTTTACTGGTCATATTGGTTTCAGTTCCTCTGTGCAGACAAGGAAGTGCTCCTCATGACTGACAAAAGCTGTTGCACCAAGGCTGCCTAGTCATTAGAATGGTCTCTAGAAGACAGTATCATCAGCAATCACTGTTAGCAAGGAGCCTGCTTCTGTGGTGCTGTGTTGCTGCTAATAGTTTTTATTAGAGCAACTGCAGTGTGGGAGGCCTGATCCAGGGAAAGCAGAAACCAAAGCTGTGCTCCCAAGGAGGTTATGAGAAATGAAGAAAATGATACCAGCCCCTCTGCAGGAGGAAGCTGGCAATGTTTGGAAGGATCACCCATGGCTAGAGCCCCAGCACTTGGGTCACCACTCACCCTGCGCAGGTCAAGGGCAGGCCCCACTTCTTCAGGACTTGGTTGTGAATCATACCCTGGATTCTTCTCTTCCAGGTACATCCCAGTTGCCATGATGCTCCTCGAGTCAATGAGCTCTTTGTTCTGCTCTTCTGCTCAAGCAAAGCAAGAACTAAGGTGGCAGAACATGGATATATCCTGCAGGTACTCCCGACATCTCTCCTGGCTCAGGTGCCAGAGGCTTGGAGTTTTCCAGCTCTTGACCTCACACCCTGGAATGTTTGTTTTCCAATTCCTTCATGAATAACAAGGTGAACATGACATCCCTCCTGCTGGTGAATGGAGTTCCTGAGAGCTGGGAGGCCACAGTCCAGATTCTGAGGCTCCTCACCAGGCAGGTGCTGTAGAGCAAAGCCACTCACTCGCAACTCTCTCTCTCTCTCTTTCTCTTTCAAAGTTGGGGAAGAGAAGGCCATCTAAGCAGTTTCTCTCACACTCCCCAGTAAGGAAATCATAAGGGATCAAGTGAGCTCTAAGCACCCAGTAGAAATATTCAGCTGTTCCAATGAACTTCTTGAGATCCTGAAATCTGCAAAGTCAGGACCAAGACAGATGTAGGTACTCCAGTTACATAACACCACAAAATATTGCTTTTATTTCATAAAATAATAAGTTTAAAAACTGCTGTGGTTTCCATGTCTGTGCCCTCCAAAACTCTCATTGGAACTTATCTCCAATGTGGTAGCATTAAAATGCGGGGCCTTTAAGAGGTGATTGGCTCACAGGAGCTTTTCCCTAATGATAAGTAGATTAATCCATTCATGGAATAATGGGTTAATAGACCAATAGGTGTTCTTGAGAATGAGACTGATGCCTTTTGTGTGTGTGTGCCTTTCTTAGAGACAGACTCTCGCTCTGTCACCCAGGCTGGAGTTCAGGGGAGCGATTTTAGCTCGGCTCACTGCAACCTCCACCTCCGAGGTTCAAAAGATTCTCCCACCTCAGCCTCCCAAGTAGTTGGATTACAGGCGTGCACCACCATGCCCCACTAAATTGTGTATTTTTCGTAGAGACAGGGTTTCACTCTATTGGCCAGGCTGGTCTCGAACTCCTGACCTCAAGTGATCTGCCTGCCTCAGCCTCCCAAAGTGCTCGGATTACAGGCGTGAGCCACCGTGCCCAGCCAGGACTGATGGCTTTAAAAGAAGAGGAAGAGAGACCGGAGATAGGACACTCAGTCCCCTGTAATGTCCTGTGCCACCTTTGGCCTCTGCAAAGAATCCCCACAAGCAAGAAGGCCCCCTCACAAGATGCACTCCTGGACCTCAGACTTTCCAGCCTCTAAAACTGTAAGAAATAAATGTTGTTTCTCATAAATTACACAGCACCAGGTATTCTGTTATTAGCATCAAAAAAGAGACTAGGACAGTTATCAGAGTTAGATTGTATTCTACATGCTCTGACTGGTTCTCCAGGGAAGTAATGCAGAAAAAGAGGAATAATCTCTAAATACAGTAAACAAATTCCTGCAGATAGGAAACAATGGTGGATGCCTGCACTAGGAGAGGGGGGATGGAACTTACCTTCTTCAGTTCAGGAAGATAAGTTCTGGGATAAACAAGTAGTAATGGTAATACAAGGTGAATGTACTTCATGGCACTGAATTATACACTTAAAATTGGTTTAAATGGTACTTGGTATGTTTGGCATATTTTAACCACTTAAATTATAGGTAATTGTGCTTTAAAAGAGTTATCAGTTTAATCTTCAGCAGAAATCAATTGACAAACAAATATACAGTGACTTCATTTTTTTTTTTCTTTTTTTTTTCTTTTTTTTTATTGCATTTTAGGTTTTGGAGTGACTTCATTTTTAACAAAGTCTAAATATGCATAAGAAAAGGTCATGAAGGAAAAGGGCAGACATAATAATTTTTTTCCCCAAAAGGTATTTTCTACAATGAATGTTTTTATGTAATAAAAAATGAAATGACGAAAGTTTAGAATGTTTGTGAGTTTTTAATTCCTTAAATCCTTAATTATATAAATTAATATCTATATGGACTGATACATATTTTTCCTCTATCTACATTTCTCCATTCTTTATATCTTAAATCCTGACGTTAAATGTCATCACATTTCTTAAACGTCAAGAGAAAGACTGTTACCAAGGAAGTTGTAATCCATAACCTAGAGAGTGGGCAGCTTCTAATTGTCTCGACTGCTTTTCTTCTTTCTGTTAACCAAATGTTTCTGTAAATAACTCATTTCTGTTGGTTTCGGGAAAGACGTGGGAGAAGGAAGAATTCCTGAATGGAGAGGACGCGTGACAAGACGCTCCACGGTCTCCTCCCTCCTAGGGTCTGGTCTTGACGACAGCATCTCGTGTTTGGGGGGTGTCTTTCCCTAAGCCCAGCTGCACCACCCGTAAGTGGGCGATAAGGCTTCTGCCCGCGGGCTCCGCGTTCTTCGCGTTCTTCCACCCGGCCCCACCTTTGCTCTCGGCTCTGCGGACTCCAGGACTAAGCAACAGCAGGGTTAAGCTGAAAGTCCACACAGGGCTGGCTGTAAACGTCTATTCAGGAGCCACCCGCCCTGGGCAGTCAGTCGGGTACTTAGTTGACCTGAGCGCTCCAGGGAGACGCCCGACCCTATCCTGCGCGGCCCCCCAGGGACTAGCTCCGCTTCCCCCAAGTCCAGCGAGGCAGGCGCGCCCCGCTCCGGGACAGTCAGTACCAAGCCACGAACCGCGCCGGGGGTCAGAGGACCCGGAGGCCCCGCCCAGCTGCCGGCGCAGCCAATCGCAGCGCAGCCGGGCGGTGGGGCGGTGCCGGCCGAGCCCAAATCCGATGTTTCAGAGGCAGAGTCGGGCGAAACTGGGCCAGAACCGCGACCTCCGCAACCTGAAGAGCGGCCTCCGCCGAGTGCGCCTGCGCAGCTACGACCGCAGCGGGAAAGCGCCGCCGGGCAGGCCCAGCTGTGGCCGGACCAGGACTGGAAGAGACGACGCGGTCGAGGAGGTGTGCACCAGCCCCGGGAACCAGAGCGTGTGCCCTCAGCTCTGCGGGCCTTGAGGTGGGGAAGCCGGGGAGGGCGATTGAGGAACTCCCGGAGGCGTGGAGACCTTGCGGGCGGGGGTCCCAGCTGGAGCGGGCCGGCCAGCCTCCGGGCGCGGGGGGACGCCGGTATCGCGGCCAGGCCGCGCCGCGCCGACTCGGGGCTTGACCCGGCCAGACGGGGAAGCTCGGCCTGCGCGTGCCAGACAGCGGGATTCCTGCTGGCGTCACCGCAGACATCCTGTGACCGCTACCGCCTGGGTGCGGAGCAGGCGGCACGTCCCCGGCTCTGCCGCACCGGCAGCCCGCGCGGGGCGCTGGCTTCCCGCCTGCGGCCGTTTGACCCCGTCCCTGATTTAGGGGAGCAATTTGGGGTGTCCGCAGCACAGGCCGAAGTGAGTGAAGGAGGGAGCAGTGCGTGCTGTCTCTCCCAGTTTTTCTTGGGAAAGCATTTCAGAAAGATTTCCTTTAAGAAGGAGAGGTTGGCCGGGCGCCGTGGCTCACGCCTGTCATCCCAGCACTTTGGGAGGCCGAGGTGGGCAGATCACCTGGGATCAGGAGTTCGAGACCAGCCTGGCCATGGTGAAACCCCATCTGTACTAAAAATACAGAATCAGCCCGGTGAGGTAGTAGGCACCTGTAGTCCCAGCTACTCGGGAGGCTGAGGAAGGAGAATAGGTTGAATCTGGGAGGTGGACGTTGTCGTGCGCCTAGATCACACCATTGCACTCCAGGCTGGGCGACACACCAAGACTCCCATCTCAAAAAAAAATTTTTTAAGGAGAAGTTGGAAAACATATCTCACCTTCTGCTGTTTGTTAGTCAAGAAAGTGCGTGAAGACCTCTTAACTCTTGGGGGTCTCTTTGCCCCTAATTGGGATCGCACCTTATCATTAGGGAGGTTTTGCCTGGGCACAAAACGTGGATTTTTTTGCCATTGGTACAAAACCTGGATCAACTGTTCCCTGGTTTCCTACTTGTTGCCTTAAGCTTCTCACCCACAAGGTACTTTGATACCTTTCTCATAACCTAAATTATCGTTGCATGAACCGTTTCAACTCCTACAGCGCTGGGCATGCTGCTTTTCATTTGGTGGGTCCATCCAGTACCTCCACTTGCCCTGTTTTTCTCCAACCACATCCTTGGCCTCTTCCACAGTCCTTGAATAAATGCTTGGGAGAATCATTTAAATATGTGTATTCTACCGTGGTGGCCCTAGTACCTCAGGGGGCAGTAAAATGGCTTTTTAGGACTGGTCTAATCAGATCCTCCTTTCTTTTCCCTTCTTAGGTTTTGAAACATGAATCCTACACTTATCCTCGCTGCCTTTTGCCTGGGATTAGCCTCAGCTGCTCTAACATTCAATCACAGTTTAGAGGCACAGTGGATCAAGTGGAAGGCGATGCACAACAGATTATACGGCACGGTTAGTGGCGCCTGAAACTGCTTCAGAAAGAATAGTCCTTACTGTTGAGAAGTTATAGCTAGAGAGTAGCTTCTAGAGGGCAGCTTTTACCAATAGTATAATGTAATACCCTAAGGGCACTGATTATGAGCACAACGTGGGCATTCATCCCTGTGTGTCTCAATTTGGAGAACAGCAGCTCCAAGAGGTGTCAAGCCTTCCCTTGCTGTGGTTTCCGTTCCATCTCTGTCTGCAGATTCAGTTGGTGAGCATGCATTGGGTTTTAGGTAGATATAAAGAGCATCAGTTACATGTTTGCCTCTAGAATGAAGAAGAATGGAGGAGAGCAGTGTGGGAGAAGAACATGAAGACGATTGAACTGCACAATCACGAATACAACCAAGGGAAACACAGCTTCACAATGGCCATGAACACCTTTGGAGACATGGTGAGCGCGCTGTGGACTGCTGAACTCTGTGCTTCTCCTCCTCCCTTCTTTACTAAAGTAATCTCTTGCTGTGCAACATTTTTTTTACTTTTCCTTGAAGACCAATGAAGAATTCAGGCAGGTGATGAATGGCTTTCAAAACCGCAAGCCCAGGAACGGGAAAGTGTTCCAGGAACCTCTGCTTCATGAGGCCCCCAGATCTGTGGATTGGAGAGAGAAAGGCTACGTGACTCCTGTGAAGAATCAGGTGAGACAATGTCAGGTTCAGACCTCCCCTCTTCCCAGGAAAGCCAAGAAGCAATTGACATCTTTGTTTTGGTAGACTTTAAAGCGATGGGCAGTTCACTTTTTAAGAGTATTCAGATCTGTGAGCTGTAAAGTCTTACTATTTGTTTTTGCCGATGACCGCTTTTTAAATTCCCTTTTTAGGGTCAGTGTGGTTCTTGTTGGGCTTTTAGCGCGACTGGTGCTCTTGAAGGACAGATGTTCCAGAAAACTGGGAAGCTTGTCTCACTGAGTGAACAGAATCTGGTAGACTGCTCTGGGCCTCAAGGCAATCAGGGCTGCAATGGTGGCCTAATGGATTATGCCTTCCAGTATGTTCAGGAGAACGGAGGCCTGGACTCTGAGGAATCCTATCCATACGAGGCAACCGTAAGTGGAGCTTCTCATCTAATCATTCCAGCTCAGCTTCTGGAAAGTGAAACACTTTCAGAGATAACAGATACCTTTTTTAGAATTCATGTATTAGGTCTGGGTGGGGTGGCTCACGTCTATAATCCCAGTACTTTAGGAGGCTGAGCCGGTCAGATCGCTTGAGCTCAGGAGTTTGAGACCAGCCTGGACAAGATAAAACTCTACCAAAATAATAAAGAAAATTAGCCGGCTGTGGTGATGTGCATCTGTGGTACTAGCTAGGCTGAGGTAGGAGGATTGCTTAAGCCTGGGAGGTGGTTATGCAAATACACTCTTGTCTGAGTGACAGAGTGAGACCCTGTCTCAAAAAAGAAAAAAAAAATCACAGATGGTAGAATCTGTATCTGCACATTGTCAGTACTGTCATTATAAATTATTAAGCCTTTGCGCAGTCCTGTGATTAGATGGTTAACAGACAGCTGTTCTTGCTTCTGTGTAACATGAAGAGTATACAAACCATTCTACATCTACACATTTCTTTATTGTGAAAAATTTCTTAGGGAAATAAACCTGGGGGGTCTCATAGAAGAGACTGGAGCCAGTTTTCAGTTTCAAATTAACTAATAGCATTTCATGCCCCTGGATGATTTATAACTATGGTGACTTGGAAATCCTAAGCTGCCAACTGCTGAGTGTTGTGGTTCTAACCCCTGTTCCCAGGAGGAGGAGAGCAGTAATCAAGTCCTTTCTTCCCTTTATCTCTGAAAGGAAGAATCCTGTAAGTACAATCCCAAGTATTCTGTTGCTAATGACACTGGCTTTGTGGACATCCCCAAGCTGGAGAAGGCCCTGATGAAGGCAGTTGCAACTGTGGGGCCCATTTCTGTTGCTATTGATGCAGGTCATGAGTCCTTCCAGTTCTATAAAGAAGGTAAGTATTTTTTTCTTTGTAGAAATTGATTCAGAAAAAGAGTATGACATACTAGTGTGATAGACTCTGGTTTGTAAAGTTCAGTGTAGATACTTAGGTGCTTAGCATCATAGCTATTAATTCTGTACATGCAGTATGTATACCTGATGTTTCCATTTGACATGTTGAGCACATCTCGATGAATATAAGTACTTTGTAACTTTTTAATAAATAGCTATATCATTTACTGGATAGTTTAATATAATTAAATATTCTGTAATTGTTGGATTTTTGTAATTTTTACAACGATTTTACTTCCTGTTTTTAAATCTGAAAAGAGCCTTTTGATTCAAGGATTTTGGTGTTCTGTGCTGTTTTTTTAGATTGATAGCCTAGAGTAGAATTACAAGCTTTCAAAGAGTGGTCTTTTATTCCCTTAGCAAAGTCTTTATATGAAGGATTTATGTTGATTTCTATTTCTGCTAGTTGTAGATGAGATCCTAAATCCCTAGCCTTGACAACAATAGATCTTATTGTTAAGTGCTATCTAGAATGTGTGTCACTTCACTGAATTCAGAGATGCCTCATTCCCTGTGGGTGACAGGATGGGTTACTGTCGTGTGTCCTCTGGAGCTTCTTACCCCGACTCTTCATTTTACTATCCCAGGCATTTATTTTGAGCCAGAATGTAGCAGTGAAGACATGGATCATGGTGTGCTGGTGGTTGGCTATGGATTTGAAAGAACAGGATCAGATAACAGTAAATATTGGCTGGTGAAGAACAGGTATAAATTGCCAATAATACTTATATTTGAAATTCAAAAGAGAGTATTTCTTTGCAATCAGTGTTTCCATAGTATCACATGCCCTTAGGCATACTTCTGAAATCCCAGAAGTCTAAGTTGAACATAGAATGTTAATGTTGGATTATAAAAGTAAGATACTGTCACAAACATGCTGGGAGTATTAATATAGTGTTTGTACCATTGTACAAATGTGTGTCTAAATCTGAACATTTTCTTAATTCTGAGGCATATCTGGCTGCAAAGACATGCTATTCCTTTCCTGTCTCTGATTTGAGTTCTGTGAAAGGTCACAGTTTTGAGATGGGTGGATGTTATGCGCAGATTCAGACTCAATAATTTTTTAAGAATAAACAGAAACATTGCCTCTCTTGATTCTTTCTGTTAAGTCTGTGGCCTCTGGCACAGTGTTTGAGTTGGATGTTCCTGTTAATAACCCTTTGGGCTTTATTCTTTCTCTGAAACGGAAAACCTGCTGTTTTTTCAGCTGGGGTGAAGAATGGGGCATGGATGGCTACATAAAGATGGCCAAAGACCGGAAAAACCATTGTGGGATTGCCTCAGCAGCCAGCTACCCCACTGTATGAGCTGATGGACAGTGATGAGGAAGGACTTGACCGGGGATGGCGCATGCATGAGAGTTCATCTCAATCTTCCAGTCCCTGCTGTGACGGATACACACTCGAATCATTGAAGATCCAAGTGTGATTTGAATTCTGTGATATTTTCACACTGGTAAATGTTACCTCTATTTTAATTACTGCTATAAATAGGTTTATATTATTGATTCGATTACTGACTTTGCATTTTAGTTTTTAAAAGGATGTGTAAATTTTTACCTGTTTAAATAAAATGTAATTTCAAATGTAGTGGCGGGGCTTCTTTCTATTTTTGATGCACTGAATTTTTGTGTAATAAAAAACATAATTAGGCTGTAAGCCCTGCCTGCTGTGCCAGTAGCTCTCTAGGAATAAGAGTGGGTGACCTTCTGGGTCTTCTAATTACAAACTACGGATCTCATGTCAGCTGCCCAGTGGCTGTGTCTGACCCAATCCTTGATTGGAAAAAAAAAATTGAAAATGATCTATGAGGACAAAGAAAAATTGTTTGAATAAAGAAAAAAATTCACTTCTTAGAGTGAACAGACATATATATGATTTTAATACTAGAAAAAGACCTTAGTGATTGTGTTTATTTCATCCAAGTTGATTGCATCTTAGTCAATTACAGGACAGAGGTCTCAGAGCCCATTTCTGGAGCATCTTCCCCCACTGCTGTTGAAGATCCTGTGTACACTTTGCAGTCCAGGTGGGTTAGGAACAAGGGTATTGCCAAGACTGTTTGTTTTTGGGTCCTCAAGGGATGAGGAATAAACTTTAGGATTTGAGGCTGGGATTCAGAAATGGTGCTCTGGTCTCAGAAGGTAAAAGACAGGTGAGAGGCTCAGAAATGATCATCTGTCGCCCCATTTAGAGCAAGTTACCTATAAACACTTGAATTACTGCTTAAATAAAAAAACTTCCCACATTGTACTAGCCAAACAGCCCATACTTACGTCACCTGTGTGTTTTCAGAAGTCTCATGTTTCAACTGAAGGAAATAAAAAGAACAGATGAGACTGTTTAGTGAATAGACTATGTAATCCCAGAGGAGGGAAACGAGAAGCTTTTTTATTAAAAGAAAAAATTTTTAAATCTTGTACCTAGCACAGTATTGTTATAGAATTTACATGTAACATTTTATATGGTAGTTTAAGTCTGTCAGTTTCTTAACTGTGGACGAATTAACAGTTGGCCCTGACCTTCTGCTGTAGCATGCCTGTGTCACTGGCTTAGCCTGGCATTTGTGCAGACACACCAGCCTCAGGGCTACAGTTAGGCTGAGTGTGAAGTTTTGTCAGGTAGCTCTAATATCCAGAGCTTGTCTTCGTCTCCTTTCCTTCTGTTTCTTTTCCTTCTTCTTTCTTTCTCTTTCTTTTTTTCTTTTCTTTTCTTTCTTTGTGTTTTAGTTGAATTTTATAAGGGAAATTACCAGTATTCAGATTTGAACTATAATAGTTTGTGTATTCAACATTTGAAGTATATTCTATTTTGTGGTACACTCGTTTCAAAGTGTATTCAAGTAGGTTTTCTGAAATACAGAAATGAAATTTTAAAAAATTAAAAAGAAATACCAGATCCAGCAATCCCACTATTGGGTATATATTGAAATAAAAATAAATCAGTATGCTGAAGAGATATTTGCACTCCCACGATTATTGTAGCACTATTCACAGTAGCCAAGAAATGGAATCAACCTAAGTGTCTATCAATGCACTCACAGATTTTTATATGGTATATACACAGAATGAAATCCGGTTAAGCCATTATAAAGAAAGAAACTCTTTAATTTGCAACAACATGGGTGACCCTGGAAGACATCATGTTAAATGAAATAAGCTAGACAAGAGAAAGACAAATATCACATGATCTTACTTATATGTGGAATCTAAAAGGTTGATCTCATAGAAGTAGAAAATGAAACAGTGGTTGCCACAGACTGGGGAGGGAGTGGTGAACAGGTACAGAAGTATAGTTAGACAGCAGGAATAGGTTCTGGCATCCTATTGTACAGCAGAGTGACTACAGTTTACAATAATGCATATTTCAAAATAACTGGAAGAGAGGCATTTACATGTTATCACTACAAAGAAATGATAAATGTTTCAAGTGATGGCTGGTAATTACCCTGAACTGATTATCATACTACATATACATGTTTTGAAATATCACTTTGTATCCCATAAATATCTATAAATATAATATATCAATTAAAATTTTAAAAGACCTCCACCTAAATGAAATTCATGATCCTGTAGTGGTTTGCAACTAATATTTTGAGAAATACTGATTAGCGTTATCACAATAACGCTATATTTTCTATATAGTGGTGCCTTCATGAAAGGTACCAAAAGTAAGAGAATTAAAGAAGTCACCACCAGGCAGTGGTGCTGGGAGGTGAGAAGGAACAGGGAAGACAGCTACTTTTCATCACATGCTCTTCACTTATTTGATTTGTTATGTGAATTCATTGATGTGATAAAAATGAAAAGTACAACAAAAAAGCTCAGCAAGAAAGAAAGGCCTTTAATTCTTTTCCTGGTTCAAGTGGTTCCTGTTGCAGTTTCCACAGCCCTGATTCAGTTCCCTGGGATAGGAGCCTGCCCCTAGGTTAGAGGCCCAGCACCTGACCCTCACCTACTCCCAGTCCCTTTCAGCAGTGATGTATCTCTGTCATATCCAAACTCGCCTCCAGATGGTTTAGGAACATTCATGAAGTTGGCGTGGAAGCCAGCAGGACAACTTGGAGTGGGGTCTTCAGATTATCACCAAAGACTGGGTCAGAGAATGAATTGTTTGAGGAGGCAGGTGCTGCTACCTGGCTGACTTTCGTGCCCAGGTGAGGAGGGCACGCTGACCTCTCGCCCAGGCCATCTCTCCAGGTGGAGAACAGGGCCACAGACACCTCCAGGATGGCTTTGGGGAAATCCGGCTCTAACATGATTCTGCAGTTCCTCACACTATGTTCTCAAAGTCTGGGTACAGTTTTTGATGCTCATGGAGGCTGCAGGCCAGAAAGGACTCAAGGGACCCCTTGTACAGGGCATCATGTACCTCCCAGCCTTGGCCTTCTCTCTCCCAGCATTTCCTCTGCATTTTCCTTTTCTAGAACACCCTGCAGCATTCCAGCAAGAAAGTATAAGAAGTGAGGATTCCTCCTGATGCCAGTATTTGATCTGTGATATGCTTGGACGTGTGTGAGTCCAAGCTTTTTTTTTTTTTTTTAAGGGCAGAGCCTTGAGTAGAACATGATGCAATTCTGCAATCGGCACATTGACTGTCGTGGACCGTCCGGACGGGTAGGCACGTCTGCCCGGGGGTCTCTCGACCTGCAAGAGGGTCCCAATACCTGGAAGAGGGAGTGCGCCTGAGAAAATAATAAAGACAGAGAGAGAGAAAGCGAGGCGTCTGGAGGGCTGATAGGCTGTGCCTAAACAGCAAATTTTATTTTTCAAATGCCAGGAATAAATACACTTTCTTGGCTTTGATCTCCCTCATAGTAAGAGGAATGTAAATGTATGCCTCACATGGCCTATACGTATGCCTCACATGGCCTATACAAAAGAGAAGTCAGATATGCGATCAATGGTTGTAAAAAGTAACAAAATTTTCTATAATCACAAAGCTTGTTTATATCTAAACATCATCCACGAGACTTGTTTATATCAAAACATTATTCAGGAGACTTGTTTATATCAAAACATTGTCCAGGAGACTTGTTTATATCAAAACATTGTCCAGGAGACTTGTTTATATCAAAACATTATTCAGGAATCTCTAAGTCAGGAATCCAAGCCATCCCTTATGGTGGCATTTTTCTTTGCAGATATCAACAGTTAAACCATTATCTATGGTACAAGGCAGTTAGGTAAGTAAAGGTTAAAACTTAAAGTCATAGAAAGGTCATAGCAGGAACCGGTTGCTGGTAGGGGGTTACTTGGTCTAGCAGCAACGCATAATTTTAGGCCCAAACGATATTGTGGTTGATATTAGAAACTGATCATTCATCTTTCTTCCTATATTCTGGATAGCTCGACTGTCTCCAGTAGGAAACTGTGTTTGGGATCAAACTCACCATATAGTGAGACTCACGCCTTTTAGGGGTCTCACACGGGAGTGTTCCCCACATTGACGATGACGGACTATTGTGTCTGTGGCTGTGGTTTCAGTGGAGCCCTTGTTCTGCTGTTGCTGGGTCAGTTTGCCATTGCTGGAAAACAAGGGGTGCACGCAGGGTCACCAGCCAGCCTAGACCACAGTTGAAAGCCACCAAGGCTACCATGTCAGCCATAGGCCAAGGACTGATGCAAAACCCTTCCTCCTCCTAGACCTTGATGGGAGAGAGAGTAGAAGCCAACACATGCTGGAGAGACAGGAACCAGCGTCCGGGCCCCACCTGCAGGCCTAGAGCCAGGGGTGAAGGTGGAAATCTGCTGTCGTCGGGAGAGGAGAGTCTGAACCTCACCTTTTGAGAAAGCTCCTCAGCAGCCCCACTTAAGAGAGTCCATAAGGATGCTTTTCTTTGGAACCTGAGTGGCCAAAAAGCCTGAACTTGATTCTTGAGTGCAGGTTCATGTGCATGGGTCACAGCTATTCAATGAAGAGCCCTCAATGAGTATTCTGAGCACAGATGAGGAAAATGTCAGTGACCAAAAAAAGAAAAAGGAAAAGATTCAGATGACGATTCTCAAGGTTCTTAACCCCTGGTCTGCAACGATTACCTATGCTGTAGACATGTTTATTTCTATCTCTAATACATTGTTTTAAATATTCAGATACAGTTGACCTAACAAGATGTCCAAGCCAGAGCAATCAGGCAAGAGAAAGAAATAGTGGGCATCCACATAAGAAAAGAAAAAGTCAAACCATATGATTTGACACCTAGAAAATCCTAAGGTCTTGGCCGGGCGCGGTGGCTCAAGCCTGTAATCCCAGCACTTTGGGAGGCCGAGGCGGGTGGATCACAAGGTCAAGAGATCAAGACCATCCTGGTCAACATAGTGAAACCCCGTCTCTACTAAAAATACAAAAAAGTAGCTGGGCATGGTGGCTCGTGCCTATAATCCAAGCTACTCAGGAGGCTGAGGCAGGAGAATTGCCTGAGCCCAGGAGGCGGAGGTTGCGGTGAGCCGAGATCGCGCCATTGCACTCCAGCCTGTGTAACAAGAGCGAAACTCCGTCTCAAAAAAAAAAAAAAAAAAAAAAAAAAAAAAGAAAAGAAAATCCTAAGGTCTCCACCAAAAGAATCCTGGAACGGATAACATGCTTTT